TCGATTGTTGACCGTCCCTTGTGAGTACAGTTGTGGGCGCGTGGGTGTGCAGCTAGGACCCTGTGACTTGGCAGTGATGGGTTACCCTCTGAGGGTACCGTGTTAACTGCTGCTCGCGCCTGGCTGATTCAGAGCATATTCGCATTATTTTTGCCAAGTCTGATGTGTTTTGAGTGCTAACCGGAAAGGGTCAGGGGGAGCGTGCAAGCATGACGTCGCCGTGTTCCAGTAGGGCCCATTTACGCAAGGATAATACTTTGCCCCATGACAGGTGCCTCCTCAACTCCACCAATGCCCAGATTCGCAGGACCCTGCTTGCCTCTGAGGAGGCGGAGTGCCGTCGCCATTCGTGGCCCTGGTTCAGTAGGGTTCTCCCAAAGGCATTTGCTCGGACGATCCTTCTCGTGTCGAGTTGTCTGGGCATAGGGGTCTGGGGTTTATTAGGGATAGATGCCTGTGCCCGATCACGGGTGCTTTCCTAGCCGACCTCCCGTGATGTTTTTTAATTGGGGTGTTGGGGCACGTGAGTTCGTCAATCCCCATGTTGAAAATGTCCGCCTCTGCTTGCAACTTTGGATAGTTAGTTAAGTGATTGGGTACGCACATATTTGATGGATGTTTCAAATTTCCCTTAGCCTTATTTTGAATTTTGAAATCCTTTTTTGAAAAGGTCATTTGTAGATCCCGAGCTACTTGGCCTTTTTCAAAAAGAGGACTCGAGTTTACGAGGCAGTTTCAAAATTCTTTTTACACGTTCGGCGTGGAAAATTTGAGCATCCTTGCAGCCTTGCAGCATCTTGATGTGCGTGCTTGGTTCAAGTGACTGCAGAGTCAGAGCCAAAGTTGAACCCTCCCAGCCCGCCCAACTTTGGGTCCTGCAATGTCAAGCCTGGCGTTGCGCTCTCATAAGTGGCTTTTCACTGTGTCACATAAGGTCACACAGGTGCTGTAATGTCAAGCGTGGCATTACTTGCAATGCCATTGCAGCTGCAGTGGCCGTGTGTGCGCTTTGAGGCAGGTAGGTGCCGTAGAGGTCAAGTGTGCGCACCAGGTCCGTAGAGGTCAGAACAGGTATCGCTCAAATGAGCGGGGGATGTCCGCCTCTGCTTGCAACTTTGGATAGTTAGTTATTTGATTGGGTACGCACATATTTGATGGATGTTTCAAACTTGCCTTATATTGAATTTTGAAATCCTCTTTTGAAAAAAAGAATTTCAGCTGGTTTCAACCTCCGCCTGAAAGGCTCGCCCCGCCGTGTGCCGTGCACTCACTTCAGGATGGCCGAGGGGCTAGGGAAGAAGACGGGGCAGGGCTTCCTCCATGCATTTTGACTGGCCCAGCTTTTCGGGGGCCTTCTTGCAGTCGTTTTGGTCGAGAGACAGGGGCATACCTGCCGTTCTGGCCTTGTTGGTGCATGCAGATGTCGTCCTGCGTGCGTCAGTGTTCACGCAGACCTGAGCTATGGTAAGCTTGAATCGGGTTTGCTCGTAAATGCTAGCTAAAATTTCACACCGTTGCGGGGAAGACCCTCATCACACATCCACGCGCATGGTCTTGATGTGGATTGGGGACTTGAAGCAGCCCATCTTCGTAGTGGGCAAGGATCAAGCGCTCTTTGTTTGCGGCTATGCTGCAGCGCAAATCCCGCGGGCTCCGAAAGATGCAGCGCAAACCTCTGAGGAGGTGTTGCGACCCCCCCAGCTCCCCCGCTTTGTTGAAGCCATCCATGCTGATGATTCAAAAAACATGTCGTATGTTTGCAGTAGGGCAAATTTGTGCGGGTCATTTTGTTTGCAAACGGGGGATCTGCGCCTTTTGCAATTCCCCCACTTTAAAAAGTCAATGCTTAGCTTACGGTCTACATACCATAAGGGGGAGTAAGGGAGGATTAAGCGGATCATGTTGTGTGCAAAAAAAGGGGGCGCCATCCAACCGCGCATATGAAAATCCTTCTGAATGCTGCGACTCGCAGTTCATTGGCAAGCCCCGAAAAATTCAGCTGGCGTGCCGTCATGTGCAGCATATGCAATCTCCAAAGATTTCCAAATGCGGTGATTTACAGTATCCGCAAGGTCTACAGGGCTTGAAAAGCTATAATTTTGTTTGCAAACTTTAGATGCGCTCCCACGCCATACTTTACGATATGTGCAAGCTCCGGATGAGTTCCCAATCTTCTAAGTGACAATATCTGCAGCCTCTGTGCGGGCCAAAATCCTGCAAATTGCATTATGTGTGATCGTCCACATGCAGACAATCAACGAGGAGGGTGCGAGGATGGCGCGCCCGACCCCATAATCCTTGTGACTGTCGATATTATCCAGATTCCGAATGATCCGACGAGGATCGCGAGTGCAATCCCCGCAATCCTGCAATTGTTGTGACATTTTCCAAAGTCAAAGGATCCGAGGGTCCGAAAGCGAGGACAGTTGCGAGCATCGCGAGCCTGACCCCTTCAATCTCTGCAACTTTAGCGACTTTAGCGCTTGTCGAACTCAGAGGATCCCAGGGTCCAAAAAGCGGGCAGTTACGAGAATCGCGACCCAGACTCCCATAATGCTTGTGATTCTTGACATTTTTGAAAACCCAACCTCACCTTTGTAGTCAAAATCGAAGCAAAAAGATGGAAACCAAAAAGTTCCCCAAATCAAACCAAAAAGCTTCCCAAATAATTTCGGACCCGTAAACTTTGGATAAAGCCATAATGCTTTGTAAACTTCGTGGAAATCTTCCATGAGCTGTTATAAATCCTCTACAAACGGTTAAAAGCCCGCGATAAGCCAACCATAACCTTAATGGAAACCACAAAGTCCAAAGCACAAACCACCGGACCAAAAGGGGTGCGGTAGTAGGATATGAACCTTTTACAAACAGTATAAACCTCCATGAGCTTTCATTGAAACCCACAGGACCCAACCACAGGGCCAATGGGGGTGGGTGGTAACAGTTTAATCCTAACCTAGCGCCATAGGATAGCCACCACAAACGTGGTCCACGCCCCGAACCACAACACGGAAAAAAAGGGGAATTCTCAGTTTTCCCTATTGAAAACCACCCCGTACCGTACGAATGGGAGGGGAACTGGGGGCTGAACCGGGGGGGGCTTGCCGCGCCCGGATCATGTATGCCCACATTTTTGTGTGTTTTGTCTCAAGCATCCTACGCTGAATTTGAGGCCTTCAAATTTTACTGGGTAGTTGTCATGTGCTTTGAAGATGAACAATGTTTAAGCCCAGGCTGCGTGTGTTGTGTATCATGCCAGTGATGAATGCCAATCCCTATACAGCTCTATACTTGGAGATGTGCGCTGATTGGCGTGGAAAACGGCGACATGCAGAAGGGGAAAAGAGCCGACAAACAGGTCTCATGTTTTTGTTTTTGTTGTGGGTTCCACTCTTACTGTTTCTCCCGAGTGTAGCTACATCCCCACTAAGCCTACTTTTCGATAAACGGTCAGACAAATCATCAGTGATTGTTGTTTTATTCCGTCGTTGAGTAGTTAGTCATGATATATGCATATGTCTTTAAGTAGCGATGCTGAAACATAAGCGATCAATGAAATGTTTCGTTTTAATTTCATTTTGAACGCTTGCTTGTGCCACTTGAAGCCAAGTGTATAGCAATTGGCAAGAGGGAAATTGTTACGTGATATGTGTGAACTTTTGATTGTTATTGGTGAAGATTTGACACAAAGGGGGCTTTTGCTCCTTTCTCTCCCGTAATGTATGGTTGAAGCGGGACGAGCCATAATGTATAATTGCAAAACATAACGGAGGCAACGTCGCTGTTGTTATCCAAAAGGCTTGCCAACGTCGGAGAAATTACATGAACTGTAGCAAATTTGCATCACTTGCTGGGCCCTCCATGCTCAAGATTAGCCGTGGTTTGCTTGATCATGAAATCCATGTGTTACCAGATCAATTTATGCTCACGCCGCACATGTGCAAACCACAACGGTGCTTGTCGTTGGTTGAAACGCCCATGCTTCACCGCCTCTTGCAGGAGAAGGTGTGCTTGTCAATCAATTTGTATTTTTTCGTTGAATCCAACCAGACGCTGCAATCCCGCTCTTGGATCAGGATCGCGACATAGGATGCGAGGGTGATAGGCGAGGCAGGGCTAGCAAATTGCGGCATGTTTATCAAGCATTTCTGGGAAGGTTCTGCCGCCATTCATGAGCGCCGAGGCAGTTTCAGCCAGCAGATTTCGCGTCTGCTTTTGAGGTCCTTACGTTGGCTTGTTTTTGGCCTCCAGATCAATCATAACTTGTCAGGTGTTCATTGGCCAGCGTGACAGTGTCCATGGCTCTGTCTCGGTATTGCAAGCAGACGAATCCGGAAGGCTCAATTTATCAGTAGAACAAATTAGCACTTGCGAGTGGATTGGCAGCAGGCGCCTGCTTCCCGACCGGCAGCTAGATTTGGGTCAGCCAGGATGGATGGGTCTACGGCGAGCATCTTGTACTCCAATGGTCTAAGCACAGAACGATTCCGGGCTACTTGTTCTGTGGGGTGGTGAAATCTGAAAACGGCTTTCTGGCTTTCAAGGAATGGGTGATTCTCTTTCAATGCGTGCTTTTCCTTCTGCTGCTGGACTTCCTGGTTCACTGCTCAGTGAGCATGTGGAGTATGGCTATGCTATGCTATGCTGCTAGTAGATGCTGGGATGTTTCTAAAGAGCTGGGCCGAGGTGTTGCGCAAAGTCAAGTCCAACATTCGGAATCACGTGGCGTTGACAGTGTCTTTGATTGATAGCAAACGCAGTCTTCGGCAAAGAAGGGTATGAGGGCCGCACAGGTGTGAAAGCCGATCACCTACCACCCAGCTGGCAATACTGTCCCCAGACTCCTAAGACTGAGACTGCATGAAAGGCTCGCGGCTCGCATTGAGTTGGCGTTCGCCGAGCGACAGTTAAATGCAGGATGTCAGAGGCTGCTTTTTCTGATATTTCAGTTCAGAGGATGGGGCTTGCATTAAGCCAAGGTTTTCTGGCTGAGCATTGGCATGCTCTACAACGTCCACATCTGGTACTTGGCTGGAGATCACATTTTAGACTCAAGATCATCATGCATGGCAAGATGTCATCAAAACATGCACGACAATTATCAAGACTGGCGTCTTTCGGTGTGAGCGCCTCGCGGTGAGGTACCTTTACGGACCTGATCAGGCAATATATTGGTTCAGCGGCTTTTCGTTAGAATGGATGCTCCTTGTTTTGGTCTAGTCTAGTCTTTCTGTCCGTGCCCTTGAAGGTGACTGCACCTAAGGCTCTCCATGGACAACCTTGTTGTATTCAGCCTGATCATGACCACATACCGGGTACCGCCATCGTTGACTCGCAAGGCAGCAATTGCAGTCGGAAACATCCAAAGACTTTCCAAAGATGAATAGAGACGTAAGGCAAGAATGCATCAGCTCCTCTGCCAGGCACTGTTCGTGGGAATTGTGGGTTGTGTTCTGATGAGGCTTGGCTTCTTCTTGGCAGCTTGGGAGCAAATTTATCACCATTGTTGGCCCAACTCTTCAGGGCACAATTTGACAGTGTTGCAGTCTGATCCTGCGAGAGAAATTCTAAGATCCTGGAAGATGTGCTGAAGCATGAGAAAATCCTTCAGATCGGCATGGGCATTGTGCTGCATGGCTGAAGGCTAGCCATAAAGCTACAAGCGTGTTGACTTTCCACCTGGAACTGTGCTGCGCTTTGGCTACTCAAAGAATGGGTCAGAATGGGAATTAATCAGGAAGGGTAGCAAAGCATAGCTTTCCAATTGTTGCGGGCTGAGGCTCATGGCCAGTGGTGGCCATGCCATGTTTGAGGAGGACAATGAAGGCTCGGTTGTCTGCAACATCCTTCCTGTGTTGTCTTCCTGTTCAATCATTGAGGCGACATTGTGGACACCTATGTGGTGAGAGCTACAAAGGCCGATTTAAACGTTTAAGAGCTTTCGGAAAGTTGGCTTTGGTGCAAGTTGATTTTTTGGAGTTCAATACATAAACCGCTGAGGCTTGCCTCGGAAATCGACTTGAGGAGCGCTACGACACAGAGAACCATAGGCCTTTACTTAGGATAGGATTGTGATTCATAGCCTGGCGTTGACATCCCGCTTCGTTTTGCACGCTTTTACCTTCGGTGCCTTTCATGAATCAGCAGCGAAGCTGATCTCAGTCAGTTTTGATGTACACAACTCAGGGTATCTTCAGATTGTGGTTTGTTTTTTGCCCTGGACATTGGACAGGGGTAGATGCAGTCCTTAAGGACATGCCTGGTCATCAGGTCGTGTTACAGACAAGTAATATAAAGATCGGCAGTCATCCAACATTCCAAAATGCTTCCGCCGTCCTTTTGTGTTTGGTTCGCATGATGCATGCCGTAGCCCAGCCCGCTTGACTTGGGTGCAGACTTGCTGCAGCAAACCGAGTGGTGTTCCCTGCATAGGCTTTTCGTGTATCGAGACGGCAAGTACAAAGCCACCCTGCTGCCCGGCCGGCAGTGCAGGGTTCCAAAGGCTCAAAAAGGGGCCCCTAATGACCTTGGAGGGACTTCCGGCAGGTGTTTGTTGCGTCTGGCAACCTTCTTTTGAGTTCAAGCCATTCAAGGGGATTCTGACCAGCACAGCAGCTGGCCACCCCTCAGTGTGAAGCAGACAATGACTATTCGGACAATAAGTTCAGTGCGTTGTACAAATAGAAGGTATGTTTGAAATTGGTTTTGTACATGTCTGTGTATGTTTATAATATATACATATATATATATATGCACCCCTCCAAAGCTTACCTATTATGAGAAAACCATGGCGTGCACGGTGCAATCCACCAACTTCAGGCTTTTTCGTAGGAGCCTCCATTTCATTCCTTGATATACCGCATCCGTTCATGTTTGGGGGTATAGGGCTCATAATGGAAAATCAAATCAAAAAGATCATGGAAAATGAAATGGACACTGGGGTTCCAACAGCATTTTCACTAAATCGCTGTCGAATCTAGAGTGCTGGCATCCTCTTGTGAAAGCCAGGCCGCGACCCCCAAACCCTACTTTGTGCTATAGCTGTGGTCGTTTTCCCATGAACCTTCGATCCAAAATAAAAAGCCCAAACCATTATACTCACACTTTTTCTATAAACCATGACCCAAACAAAAAACCCAAAGCATTGGACTAAAAGAAACTCGCGCGTACAACGCCCATATTTTGTAATCCAAGCTCGCATCCCAGATAGTACGTGCCAAGAATTCTATACGTTCTTCTTCCCTGAACCAGCACCTTGAATCCCAAATAGTATTTCCCAAGTATTCCATACATCCTTCTTCCCTGAACCCAGCACATCACGTTCCAGATGGTATATACCAAGGATTACATATACCTTCTTCCGTAACACAGAACCTCAAGTCCCAAATATTATTTACCAGGTATTACATGCATCCTTTCTTTCCTTGACCTAGAACCTCAAGTCACAAATGAACATACATCTTACTGAGAGCCTCAAATAGTTTTCCCCAAGTATTGCACACACCCTTCTTCCCTGAAGCCAGAACGTCGAATCCCAAACAGTACATCTGAAGTATTATACTTATACGTTTCTTTGACTTTGAAGCTCAGAAAACCAAAATTGTACGTTCAAACCAGCAGAGCCAAAGATTTGAGAATTCCTCGTTAACTACAAAGCACACATCGTAACGGACATGCATGGAGAAAATCAAGGAGCCCAGGGCTCGAGAACTGATCTTTAAATTTGTTGTGCGTTTTGTAAGAGCTTTATCTAGAGAAAATGAGGGGACCAGGATCAAAAAAGTATCTTTTAGATTCTGAACCAACTTACTACGATTTGTATAGAGAAAAGAAGGAGCCAGTATCAGAGACTTGTCATTGCTATCCGGAACCAGTTTATAAAGACAGTCAAGAGCCCAGAAACTGAGCAATCTTATAACCTTGAATTCCAGGCTAAAGATTCCAATGAATCATTACTCAAAGCATTATATCAAATATTGACCGCAGTTCCCACACGGTTAGAATCTTCAACTATAATCATAGACGCATATTTACATATATACGATATGGTCTCCTATAACGGTCTGGTGGGTAGGATAGGAGGGTCACTTGCCTACATGAGATCAGCAGTTCCAGTTCTTGTGACAGTTCTGTACACAAGTCATGTTCTTTGTATGTGGCCATTTTGGCTCAAGCGATCGATTGACAAAGCTTGGTCAAGTTTTTATCTCCTCTTTACAGGTCTAGGGCCTGGGAGATTAGATCGCCGAAACGCCATGTCTTGGGGCGCTGATGATCAAGATCAATGGGGACGAGGTGCTGGCTCTGGATACGGTGGTGGTGGCTATGGAGGTGGCTATCGCCGCCAGAACAGAGGGGCCTTTCCTCAGCCCCAGCCAGCTCATGACCCCTATGAGGTGAAGCTCCCGAAGTGGTGCGAGTCGATCATGACCTGCGAGGGCGACGATCGTCGTACCAGCATCATCATGTTGGACACCCGTGATGATCGCATGGTGTCGCCTTTTCAGGCGTGGTTGGTCAAAGAAATTATGACCAATTCGGCAAGTTCTATCAATGTTCTGACTGAACGTGATCACGTTATGCCGCCGAATTCAGGGTATCACCTGTCTTTGTTCGCAAACTATACCCCTGACGGCATCAAGGCCACGATCTTCATCTCGATTGACTCAACCACCGCCTTTCCTTGTGGTGGTTGGGACACAGAGACGGCAAGGGCGCTCGCCCATGAGGCCTTCCAGCCATTCAGCTGGCCGGTCTTGAGGGACAGCTCTCCCAGCTACACCGACGTGAAGATCTACAATGGGAACGAGATCTTGTTCCACTGGATCTTTCGAGGGTTCAGGGCGGACCCCGACCTCTCGGTCCAGCAACAGTTTGCGGACGAGTTCTTCATCCGTGACGTCTGCAAGGGGCGAGTTCGGCTCTCAGTGGTCGTAGCGGCCTTCTCAGGTTGGCGGGTCTCCATCTTTTCGTTCGAATGCGGAGGCCAAACATATAGTGTTGGTCCGAAAAGTACAGTGATCGCTGGAGACTCTGCCCGCTCGAGTTGAGGGTCTGCGATCGCGCCTCCTTGGACGCAATTGGCAACGATGCAGATCGAGTCGAATTTCGCTATCGCGACGCAAACAACAGGATTGACATGAAGTGTGCCAGGACGTCAGTTCCGTCAACCTGGCTGGTGGTCTCCCACATCAGTGGACCTACGCCCATCCAGACGATCAACAGGGTGAGAGATCAGCGGGCCAGGGTCGAAGGCCCAGAACAGACGGAACAATTTGCCCAGCTCGCGGCAGTGCGCCAAAATTGGTGGCACGATGCGGACACTACGGTCAGCTCAGAGGTGGGAGTTCATGTCTCGTGGGTTGGAGGTCTCGAGAAGGGCAACTTCCACGTTCAGACCGAGAGCAAGCTCTTCGTTCGCGAGCCGGTCGTGGTCCCAGTTGCTGCGCTCGTGGCTATGTCACATGAAGGAGCCGCAGGTCGTCAAGTTCCACGAGGTCCTCCTGCACTTTCGATGGAAGCCTGGTCTTCGGCGGCTCAGGAAGCAGGGCTCGCAATCGCGGACCAGCCTTCCAGCAGCTCAGCGCTGGCACTTCGCCAACACAACAAGATCGAGATGGAGCAGAGGGCCTTCGGAGCGATCGCCTCCGCCGAGACTGTCGAGGGCGACTCGGACGAGACAGCCTACGGGCATGTCAAAGACGCCAATCGCGATGCAGCTCGAGATGATCGCACCTTTGCTCGCTCAACGGCCAAGCTCACCCCGGCACTGTTCGCAGAGATGACGGGGGGGATCTGGGTTCGCTGCTCGGACTACCAGGTCGCAGCCTTCCACGGTCGTCGTCTCCGAGGTCGAGGCAGCTGAGCCAGAGGGAGCTGCGGCGGTCGCCGGCGGGTACGCCAGTGAGACAGCTGATCAGCAAGAGCTCCAGACCCCAACGGGCGAGCCTGTTTTGTTCAAGCCTCACTGCACCCCCTGATCGGAGATCTGGGGGGGGGAAAAGACCAGGGGTAGTTCGCCCCTGTGGAGTGGGAAGCTCCCGGCCGTGCTCATTTTGCCAGAGCGGCTTAATCCGGACTATCATACCTTACTGTCTTGCGCTCGCGCGGAGAAAAAAGAGGAGAATGACTTCGGGATGAAGCAACACCGTGCGAGTTGATCAACATGCGGGTGCACATGTTCAGTTCGCTGCAGTGCGTGTCTGACGTTCACAGTTTCTTCTCTCAGGTTGCTTTGCAAATTCTTCTGCTGGTAAAGGTCTAGTGCAGTAAGGTCTAATGCATTCAAGTTCGTTGGCGAAAGCACTGGGGGAACCGGCAGCTTTCGCTCGAGGCAGGAAGCTGCAAGAAGCGGCGCCCGCCGATCGGTGGACAGTAAAGATCCTCTCCTTCCCCATTTTTGATCATGGCTTCCGTGAGGCGATCGCGGGATCAAGGCTTGCCAACCTGCAGTTCGTCCTGGCGGTCGAGGTGGACACGGCGAGCCAGTTCGCGGTGAAGGTCTTCGAGTGGACGGCGACTTCGGCACCGGTGCTCCACGAGCAGCTGACGTCTAGAACACCAACGCATGAGCAGTACTGGACGTTCGTCAAAGCAGCCAAGGTGGTGTTCGCCGACTCGCTCGGCTACCAGATGGGCTTTGCTCGCTGCGCCAAGGTCCCGAGGCAAAGGACAGACAAGCCAATCACTGAGTTCCAGCGAGGTATGGCCATCAGGGCGCTGGCTGCGCCAGTTCTGGCGTCGAAGGCCAAGGCGAGATCCTCCTTGCTGCCGGCGAGCTCTTCGACGACGCCGCTGCTGGACCACGAGCTCGGGGAGAAGCAGAAGTGGGCGGCCCGGCTGCAGGCGATCGCGGAGAGCAGGGCCACATGCGAGGAGCTCCTCTTCTACCAGCCCATCGGCAGAGATTCTATCGAACGAGGAGCGGTCGCGGCTGCAGCTCCTGGTGCTCACCTCTGGAGCTCCGGCGACAATGTCAAACTACATTCGGAAGTTCGAGAATGGAGATGTGGGCGGCGAATAGCTCCTTCGCCCTCTACCCTTTTTCTGATGATAAGTTCCTTAAATACTGTCTTGTTCTTGACGCGAAGGAATGCGGTCCAACAGTGATCCCGTCATTGCGGACTGCTATCAGATGGGCGGCGTTCAGAGTGAACTTGGAGATCCCGTCGCCCGACACGGCGGCCGTCAAAGCTCTTGAGAAGGCCGTGTTCGACAAGAGGGGCAAGCCACTCAAGGAGGCGATCCCGTTTCCGATACCGGTGGTCGCCGCCATGAAGTTCGTGATCCGCCAGGAGTTCAATGAGGCGGAGATCTTCGTGTGGTGGATCCTGTGCATGGTCTTCGCGTCTTTGAGGTTCGACGACGCCGTTCACGTCAAACCCCACGAGATCGAGTTCAAGGACGAGGGCCTGTTCGGTGTCTCGTGGCAGACAAAGACAGAGAGAAAAAGAAGAGGCGCCAAGTTACTG